TAATTAAGGCTTAATTTGCAAAAATGACTTTGATATTTAATGATTTTTTTTATTAAAAAAAAAAGTTAACAACAATATCTTGAAATTCTGATTAGAAATTATGAATATATTATTCATCCTCTATAAAATTTGTTTTTATTTTGCATTTGTTTTTATTTTGATTATTTAGCAAAAAGCCTATGAGATCTCAGCAAAACTCTATATTAAAATTTTTTAACATGATTAAAAATAAGATATTAAAATAAAAAAATACATTTTATAGAGGATAGACAATACATTCATGATCAGAATTTCATCGTTAATCTTTTTTATAAAAACAAATCTTCAAATAAATTCATAAAAAAATTTTTTAATATTTATCCTCAATTATTTTGGGAACTTGACGGGCTGAAGAAATTTAGCTTGCAACATCGTTTTCAGTATACAAAAATTTATAAAACCATAATCCATAATCCAAAATCTATAAAAATTTATAAATCATCTTGTCTGATTGAAAATAATTTTTATCGTAAACTAGTATAATTACATATATATCACACTTGATAAATCGACTAACACGTTTCGCCACGTTTTCTCAACAAAAAAAAATGATGTCGACTGTCACATTCCATTTTAAGTCGAGCATAGCAATGTTGTGGAGATATTAATAAAATTATAAAATTATTACACTGAAAGCAAGAGAGTTCGGAATTAATATTAAATGGATCAGTCCTACATTTCGAAATTTTATATTGGAGATTTCTAGCCGCCGCGCCGCGGCGGTGAAAAGTCGCTGACTTAACGAACGACCTCTCGAGAGAAAGAAAAATGATCCCGGATTCATTAGGCAATACCCGGCTGAAAGGCAGCGCGCAATTTCCTGAAATACTCCTGAAATATAAATTCTAATAAGGCACCGGGACCCTGTCGAATCGGGCCCCGAGTAACTACTCGGAATGCTCTTTTCTGCATAACTGCCAACTCTGACTGCGAGACGAGAATTTGCATCAGGAGCGTACTTAGTTCCTTCTCTCTTCTGCCAATGCAAAGAGAAATCTCGGAAACAGAAATGTAATTAAAAAAACACCTTTAAATAAATCGTTCAGATATTAAGCTATTTCAGTAGATTCAAGCAGTTTGATTATTAAATAAGTAAATTATTCATTTCGTGTATACAATTATTTGTAGGTATCCTGTAACTGACGATTGCAAATATCAACCTTAAAACATAAGCGGAATAACGTGATAATTTCTAAATTACATTTTCAAAGAAATCTGACGCTTCTCAGATTTTGCTATTAATAATCTTGTCTTTCGGCGTAACGTGAAATCTATTAAGGCTTTCTATAACGATATCACTTGTCGTAGGAGAACAATTGACGTCTTAGATAAGATGTGAAGAAAGATCTCTCCATTAGATGAGATTTGCAGCAAGAGACTCGAGATACGTCACTGCGCTCATTCCAAATACTCGCTGACCAAAACGCAACGAGCGAGACCGAGGCGCAATAAGCGAGATAGCAATTATCCAGGCTCTGTGCCGCAAAGAAATAATCGCTTTGTACGATCGTATTTCTATCGCGCACCGCGGTGAGAACTCGCCTCGCCAGAGGATCAAGGAGCGTACGAGAAAATCACGCGTGAGACGTAAAGGCCGGCTTTACGCCGCCGATTCATCGGTCATTCTTCGAAATTCAAGGGCGAGCGGCCTCTGCTCAAGCGTTAAACTATCGAATAAATCGAGAAGGCGCGCGGTACATCAGTGTGTTCTACCTAAACTCCCTAAAAAAAAAAAAAATTCCCTCGGAAGTCTCCGATTTTCAATTTGTTAAAAATTTCAGATGAAATGAAAGTACTTTTAAATATATGTATTTTACAAATAAATATATATATATATTTATTATGTAAAGTCCTTAATATTTCACATTCATAAAAATTCATAAATCATAAAATAAAATTTCTCGAGTTTCAATATTTTTTATTATTATTAAAATAATAATAATAATAAATATATATATATAAAATGTTTACTCAAATCCGGAAAAAAATTCCCTCGAAATTTTTTAAAAATTTCAAACGAAACGAGTAAAATATTTTTAAATATATTTTAGAAATAAATGTATACTCATTGCCGCAAAATCCTTAATATTTTACATTCATAAAAGTTCATAAATCATAAAATAAAATTAAGAATCACTCGATTCAATAATTAAATTTGAAAAATTTTTTAGATAACTATGGGGTCCCAAAAAATATTTGATATGCGATATTTGATATTGCGTAAAACTTTTAAATCTTATTTTCAAAAGCTGCAAACAAAAAATTATATAATGCAAGCTACAAGATTCGACTTTTACAAAACTATTAAAATAAATATGTCTTTATTAAAAAAAATTGTATCTAACAAACAATCATTCAAACAATATTAGACATTGTTTTAACATTTAGAGTTCATCAGATTAAAAATATAAAAATTTATATTTTTATTAATTATATTTGTAGAATATAAATATTTTAAAAAATAATTTAAAAAGATTCCCTGATTTACAATAAAATTCCCTGAGAAATCCCTGATTTTTCAAGGCGTAAACAAATTCTGTAAGAGGAGACACCAAGTTCTCCAGACTTTTCCAGGCAATAGACATCCTCGATGGCACGATGTGACTGTGTACAATCCGATCAATTTTATTCGAGAATAATCACAAGAACACAAGAAAATTCGATTTGAGGAACGATCTTTCTAATGGATATATCTGAGAAGCCAAGTGAAAATCGAAGGCTGAGATAAATCTAGAGAACGGAACAATCTCTTGGGAACATCGTTTAAGTCGAGACACCGTTCGAGTTCTCGATAGGATCGCCTAATTCGGGGGTGCCTTTACGAAGAGAGAGAGAGTGAAGCTAGAATAAAACTGAGACGAGAACGGACGGTTACATCTGGCGACAACAGCTGCGGACTTTTTCGGAACGTAACGATGACGACGTCGTCTCGGCGATGGCATCCTTTCTTTAAGGCTCCTCGCTCGGCTCGGAAAAAAAAAAGAGATTGTCCCACAATCGTAGTCTGGTATTCTAAATTCGCGAGAAATTCTCAGTCAAGTTGGCAATTACGCAAGCGAAATAGGAATTACTTGAAAATCATGATTTCTTATATTCTACTTAACATCGTTTTATTTAATTATTTATTTTTAATATTTGATATTTTTTTCATGTCATATCTTTATGTCGTTCTTGTTTTTTATACATCATATCTCATCTATTCAAAATTTTGTTTTTTTTTTTTTTTTTCAAATCAAGCAAATCCACGTTCTTCAGAAAGTGAGTTACAATTTTTTATATTTTACTTAACACATTATTTTATTTATTTTTAATGTTTAATATTTTTTATACCGTTTTATTCCGTTTTCTAATATATCTGTCATATCTGTTCAAAATATTATTTCCCTCTAACAAGCGAAATACATTTCGGGAAGTCAGATTATACGTCACTCAAACGGTTGGCGTTCGCAAAACCGACGCAATTAGGATCGATTTGGCTGCAATTGATGCAACATGCAAATACAATGGGATGAGAAATGGCAGGGGATTGTTGCGCGCGATATTGCGAAAGAGAAGGTTCCGTGAAAGCGACGAGCGCGTGCCTTCTCCCAAGAAACT